AAAAATCATTTACCTAATGGCTTTGCACTTTAAGCCTGGCTTTGAAACAGCTAGCTAGAGGCTTGGGGCAATTCAGAAATAGCTTATGATCAATTCCCTTGCTCTTGCTCGCTACATGTACCTAAAATAATGTACACTGGAACCTCAATTTACCAAAGTGCCATTTGAAAGGGACTGGAAAAATTTGTTCGTATATATCGAGAATTTGTTAGATTGAAAACCTTGATTTAACAAATTTTTGGGAAAACAAGCAAAATGTTCATTATATCAAGGTATGGCGGTAGTTAATGATTAATTTACAACTCCCAGCATTTCTGGATCTGAACAATTTCTGTAATAAACACAAAAACAGGCAAACAAATCTGCTTAAAACTACTGTACACATAAATTTTACCCTCTTTGGTCTGTTTCACATTCAACTTTAGCTACACCTTTGGTCACATTTTGACATTTATTTGTTACATCAAGGTAATTTATTTTACATATTATGCATTGCTGGATTGTGTTCGTGATAATGAGGATTTCGCTAAATCGAGGTGCGTTATATCAAGGTTCTTGTCTATACATTTTATTGTAATTTTGGCCAGGCTGAAGAAAATCATTCGTTATACCGAGGACTTCATTAGATAGAGGTTTGTTAACTGAGGTTCTGTTCCATACATTTTATTGTAATTTTGGATGGGCTGAAGAAAATTGTTCATTATACCGAGGACTTCATTATATAGAGGTTTGTTAACTGAGGTTCTGTGCCATACATTTTATTGTAATTTTGGATGGGCTGAAGAAAATATCATTTGTCATACCGAGGACTTCATTATATAGAGGTTCGTTAAATCGAGGTTCTGTTCCATACATTTTATTGTAATTTTGGACGGGCTGAAGAAAAACGTTTGTTATACCGAGGACTTATAATTATAGGGGTTCGTTGTTCCACTGTAGTAGGGACATACGTACCACACCCAAGAGGGCCTCCTTAATCCTTTTAGCCACAATATCTGCATACAAAATAATTCTCCAAACTGATCTCTTTACATTTCCTTACTGAATTAGTTGGGAGAATTTGAAAAATGATCAGAGCATTTTCCCTTTGGTGATCATTTTATCAATTCTCAAGACCTCTTCTCTTGATTGCATATTAATATCATTAGGAGAAAATTGATGTTTGTCACTCTTGGCGCTGGTTAAACAGCGGACAAGACTAGATGAAAATGGTGACAAATGACAAAGATAGGTTCAATATCCACAGGGGCGTGGTATACTCCTCAAAACAGGAAAAAACTGTATTGAAATTCAAACTAAGAGACTCACACACCTCAATTAGATCTTCTATTTCTTTGGCAATCCTCATTTCCTCCTCATCAGATTTTGCATCTTTTAACCTGTTCTGGAGAATGTTAAGGTGGACATCTGGAGCAGGAACAGCATCAGTCTAAAATTGCCAAACAAACTTCATTAGTCCATGTAGGTAAGCATTGCAGGGCATGAAGTTGGCTATACATTTATTACATGATCAAACAAATAACGGAAAAAAATTCACCTAAGTAAGGGAATGTTCAACAAATAATAATAAACAAAAGTGCCTTCTTGTGATTTGAGTTCCTCTCCAAATATTTTGGGCCTGGCCCTTCATATGGCCCCCCCAAAAACTTTTATTTGCTGGACCAACACAGGAAATCCTAAGCAGCCATGTAATCAATTATTTTTCTGGCAAAAGTGTACAGCAGTGTCGTCGGTACAACCACAAGGTTATGTTACTTTGACGTCGATACAACCGTAAGGTTTGTTTAGGACACCCTCGACCTGAGAAGAATACATTTGTTAAAGAAAGCGAGGGATAAATTTGTATAGATGCTGGCCATGTGAATGAAAACGCTCTATAATGGCTGACTATGTGACAGGAAGAGATGAAGTGAATCTTCAATCCATTCTGATTGGCTCCTGAACGGATGAGATGGGTCTATCCAACCTTCTTGGGACTGCCAGCTTTGTTCCAGTCGAGAACACAAGAAAGCATTAATTTGATGACAGTTTGGTCAATGACATGATGGCTGAATATTCTTGTATTAATGGACTGTGACACAAAACACACAGACAACAAAATTTGACCGATATCCAGAATTTCTGAAACCTGGACCAAAACAAAAAAGAGTGAAACAAAGCAGGGTGGAAGAACTGGAAAGTCGCTAAAGGAGTTGCATGAGACAGAAAGTGTTGGTCAGACAGCGTGGAGGCCTACGCGCCTACTGGCATGCATGATGATGATGATGACTTAATAACTATCAGAAAAATAATGCATAATGATACAATAATGTCATTATAGTGTTTGACTTACAATTGGTTCACTTCTGTACTCTTCTGGTGTAATTCCAGAAGATTTCCCTTGTCCATCACCTTGATAGTCATCTAAGTCTTCATGGTCAAATGCCTATAATATATTGCAAATTAAGGAATTTCAAAACAGTGAGATACATGTACAACCGTTTTCTCTGACTAATCTGGGCTGGAGGCTTGACTGTTTTGAGGAATGTTTTCGGCTGAGATTTCATAATCAATCATCAGAAATAATCAGATTGACCCACTTGATTGATCATCGATTGTAATTGGTAAAAATCTCTTTATAGGAAGTCGATCCATTTTACAATGGCCATCATACCGTGTTTTAGAACACAAAAAATATGAGTTCCAGTGGCGCAATCAGTGGTTAGAGTGTCCCATCTAGAACTCAGATTCATAATTTTTTCACTATTCGAAAATTTTACTGACTGCTGAGAAAATCTCATCATAAACTTAGGCAATATTTTAAAACAGAGTGCACTGAAGACTTTTGAGGAGGTACATGTACCTGGAATAAAACCTCAAGCGACTTCTGAAAAAAAAAAGTGAGAGTCTCCTTTCAATGTGCATTGGATATTCTTGTTAATCAAAAGGAGACTTGAGCCATGCACCCCTTCAATTAAGGGTGACTGAACATCAATATGAACACAGTTGTGACATCCAACCTGTCTTCGATCAACAGTTTGACTCACTATTGCCACTTCTACATGAGTATCTCTTCATTCCGTCACCATGGCTTACTAAAGGCTTGGAGCTTGTTATTACAGTGTAAATTAAGTCTGTTGTACAAAAATGAAAATCTCAAATATTATTAAGATTACTAACCATGTCTCCATATTTCTGAACGTGACTGGTGTTTGTCTCCCTTTTAACAATTTCAAATTGCTTCAAAAGAGACTCCTCACTGAGATCAACCTGCAAAATGTCCAGACATAATAATTATCATCCCTGAAATGATCAGGATGTTGGATGTTCCTAAAGAGAAACAAACAGATCAACATGTTAAGGTATGCAAAAAGGGCCAGCATTGGTGGATAAAAATATTGCTTTTGACAGGCTGGTGGGGAGCAAGGGATGGCGCAGTGGTGAGAGCGCTTGCCTCTCCCACCAATGTGTCCTGGGTTCATATCCCAGCGTCGATGCCAAATGTGGGTTGAGTTTGTTGTTGGTTCTCTCCTTTGCTGTGAGAGGTTTTTTCTCCGGGTACTCCAGTTTTCCCCTCTCCTCAAAAACCAACATTTCCAAATTCCAATTTGATCAGGAATCGGGTAGACGAAGAACCACTTTGTGGATGTGCTACCTTCAAATCATCATCATCATTATTATAAAATAGCCCTTCTAGTAAATAATTTCTGATAAACACCAAGATACTTCTTCTGGAAAACCACCTAGTAAACATTGTAAAACAAAGGACCGAAGAATGTGGCATATTAGGCCAGGAGGCACCCGGGGCCTTGCCATGTAACCCTGAGTTTGAAATTATAATTTTTAGTCTTGCTTGCTTTAGTAGCAAGACTAAAGCAAGGCTAGCTGGTTAGCCTGAGAGCAAGCTTGGCGCGGTGCTCTAGTGGCAGGGTGAGAAAAGGAAGGAGAGCTTCGCAACTACATCTCTGGAATTTGAATTCCACCTCCACTTCCCCGTGGCTCCCTGTCAACTGAGCTATCACGCATCAGATTTCCGCCAATCAGCGCGAGGGTAATGACATCATTACAAATGTCATCTCTGCCAATCAGTCTTGTGATGAGCATGCAGTTTTTTTCAGCAATGGTTGAAATGACACTCGTCATGTCCACCACGTTTTCGTTCTTTGGCAATTATGTAATTTCTCTCGAATCAAGGCCATTAATTGTTGTGTATTTATACATGCATACTATTTTTGATAAATTTTCAGAAACAAATTTTCGAGTATGATATAAAAAGTAAATAATTATCCTGGGCCCAGTTGTTTGAAAGGTGGATAATGCTATCCACTTGATAAATCTCTACCCAGTGGATAGGGCAAATTGGTTTCCCTAATATTTATCCACTCAGGATAGTAATTTATCTGGTTGATAGCACTAGCTATCCAGCATTTGAACAACTGGAGCCTGAAGAATACTCGACCACTGATAAAGTACATGTAGGACATGAGAAACTTTTTGCAAGGAGACCCTGTTTCATGTAGAATTAATTGCCTCCTCATTTCTTATCTATCTCCAAGCAAGCGAGACTTAACACTTTTAGGAGTGTTCTTGTTGATTCTAGTAATGCAGTATGACTGCAGAAGAATTCAAAACAACCTTAAAGTACCTTCATGGTTGAAACAAGAAATTTAATTATTTTGTAATATATATCTTTTTTTGTTAAAAAATACCTTGTCAGAGTTTTCCATCCATTTAACAGAGTACACATCTCCAAGATACGTCTGGTATTTCTTACTATAGTAGCAGGCGTAAGAGGATTCATGAGGATTTGCAGCTGTGGTTGCAAACACTAGCATAGCAAAAAAATAGAAAAAAAGAAAGAAAAAGCAATTTCTGGGAAAATATAATTAAGGTATAGTTTGAATTATTTATAATTTTATGTTATTCAAAATATTTCAGCCCGTTTCCGAGTGGCTAATTTTCATTTACGTAATATAAATTAGATTTACAGCAATCTTGAAAGATGCAAAAAGCTATTAGAAAAGGATATTTGAGGACTGCTAGCCAGAAGAGAGAAATCACGATAATTATAAATTATGTATATAGGTTGTTTTATTACAACTTGAGAGAAAATAGAACACCAGCACACTTAACGGCTCAGCATACTATGAAAATGCCAATAAAACAATCAAATTTCTTCACTTAAGTGCCTAATCTTCTAGCTGGTTATCAGACCAGCCTACAGTACTGACAAGCACTATTAAGGCCAGCTACCCCATGAGCAGAGGCTACATTTTTTTGCACTGTGAACTAGCCTGCGAAAAACAGCCACTACTGACAACTGTTAAATTTTCTATTTTTGCATGACAGTTCACATTACGAAAACATGTGCCTATGCTTTTAGAGTAATATCAAGGGCAGTTGTGTTATTTTAAAAATATTGCATTATTATTAAATATGTCAGACTGGAGGTCAACATACCATTGATATCTTTTTCAAGTTTCACAAACATGGAGCCTGATTCACATGCTTCTAGGTAAAACACCATCTAGTGACCAGGAATAAATTTAAAAACGTAACAGAACTCAAGTCAGATTATTATTCAGTGCCATGTCAACTATGTTAACTTTGATTTTCATTTAACATTATATAAATTGCTTTAACTTATGGAAAATTGTGACACTATGGAATTCCTGTAATAAGAAAGTCACTATCATTAGAGTACTGTAGAAGGGTTTTTTAACGCAGGTTATGCTTGATGGTTACATGTAGAATTCCACACCATTGAGCACGAGAACAAACGTGGGACGAGGTTGCTTACTCAGTCACCCTTGCTATTTTTCGTCACTCTGGATTAGGTGAGGAGGACAGCCTATGTTAAAAAGAGGCATAGTATTCAGTGGTCCCCGATCACAACATCCCGAGAAAAATCTGTTTTCCCAATGGCCTGGCCCTGTTGTCACACAGGACACAGAACACAAGGGACAAAACACAGGCTTTAGAGGAACAGAATGTACATGAAGGTTGGTCTAAAAATCAGTGTTACCAAGAAGAAGAAAATGAGTGTCAGTGCCAAACAGGTTGATGATTGCATGGGAGCAGATTGAAGAGGTACCTTTTAATAGGAATATTGTGAGTTAGAAAGAAGAAACTGAGGAGGACATCCAGGCCCCATAATGGTCCACAACACTGACAAAATTAATAGGACAAACTTGAGAAATTTTGAGTCAAATGGTCAGTGCTCTTTTATGGTGCAGAAACTTGGAGATTGCATGACGACTGAAAAAAGGAACTGAAGTTTCAGGAAAAGCTTTTAGTTTCAGGTGAACATAAACAGGTTCCTAAGGAGCAACCTGAGGATTGGGAGGCCCAGAATAATCAGAAATGAAGAGCTGTGGACACAAGCAGGGCAGTGGCTGATTGCGGAGCAGATAAAAGAACAAAATTTATTGGTCATGCAGTGAGGGGCCTAGATGGATGTGTGGCCAAGACAGCCCTTGAATAAACCCAAAGGGGAAGTGTGAGAGAGCGAGTCAGACCCTGACACACTTGGAGGCACACAAGGATGCTAGCACTTGACACAAGGCAAAACAGCTCCATTAAGGGATAACCCCCTCTACAGTATGTACAAACTGTAACATGTTTTTCCTACCCTGGCAAATTTCTTATTCTCGTGCATATAATTGATGGCTTCTAACAAGTCTTGTGAATGGAGCTAGAAAAAAGTGAAAAAATTAACAGTTATGTACTTCAACACCTTAAATACTGTAAACACTGTCTAGCATAATGTATCCCAAGCACTGGTACCCCAGTTCAAGCTACAAACAACATACAAAAACTTTGAAAAAACTGACAGACAGTTACTGTACAGTAATTAATAATAATAATTATAATTATTTAATTGCACCAATGACATTACAAGTCTTCAAAGCAAATAACATTATGGCTTAACTAACAGACGACCAATAGCATCGTGACTTAATTGACCAATAAAGTCAATAACCAGAGTTGAATACCATCAACTGACGTGATACAACTCACTTTGAAGATGACTGTTGTACACGTTGTCGAAACGTCAGTCACTGTCAACAACGACAGTCCTATTCAGGACTAATTTCACCTGGAATATTACATAATAATAATAATAATAATAATACATCACTATAATTATTTTATTTTATTTTCCTTTTTAGTTCAACTTACCACGCTGTCTGGAAAAGCAATAAGGTTTGGCGCACCATGATCAGTGAAGTAGACAAAAACATGATCATTGGGTCCACTAAAAAATAAACCAATTAAAAAATGAATGATTCAGTAACAAAGTCAAAGATCTGAATCACTTGAGATGTCAACGACCCACCCAGAACGTAACAAATCTCTGGCAAAGTCCACTCCTGCAAGTGAAGCCTATGCTCTAAGAAAAATTAAAGGGAGCCCGTGCTCTAACCCTGCTAAATTTCAGGGTGCCTGGCATAACAGTTCTTACTATGAGAAAACTAAGATTTTCTAGTCACCCAGGAGCACGAGTTAGGTACAAGGGGCCACTGGGTGCTGTTAGAGTACAGCTTTACTCCTTTGTTTGTCTGCCATTAGGTTGTGGGATTTCCTACATGTATGGGCTGCACTTGGTTGCATGGGACCAGGGCTCGAAATAATGGCTGGTCAACGGACAATGTCCGGACTGATTGGGGAGTTGACCGGTCAACCTTTTGTCTTGCCGATCATGTTGACCAGTCATATCTGATCGTGCTGTTCGGTTGTTATCAGTGCGTAGCCAGTAGCTGTGTATTGATGAACTTTGATCTGAAATCCTGGGTGCACAAAATTGAAAACATTTTCACTTTTATTAGTTAATTTTCTCGATAGGAAAAAAAAATTTCTTTTGCTGTAATGGGGAGTAACTTGGATTACCAGTGGAGTTCTAGGATCAAGATCTCACACTGTGATACGGACTGTCAAACAGAAATCATTATATTTGGAGGCACCCAACAAATTCAATGTGTACGTTAATTTATTTTCATTATTGACAATGAGTGCTTTAAAGTTCTGTAGGCTCTAAGCAACCACTTTTTTGGAAATATATAATGCCAGTTTTGGTTCACAGGCCCCTGTTTGATGAGTTATTTATCCAATAAATTTGACTGACCAGAAACGACACTTGACCGAGCTAAAATGAATTTGGCTGGTCATCATGTCCGGAGACTCTCCAGAAATTTTTTGGAGCCCTAGGGGACCTACACTGTTTGAGTCCAGTTTCAGTCTGTCCTGTCTTGGGTAGGTCTGTTCCCACTGAAGCTTGTAAATGGAGGATGATTCTATGGTTTTCTTTACACATTTCACTTCCTTTCAACTAAATTTTACACACCTGTCAATCACTTTACCACTGCCGATGCCCTTCATGGCTTCCTTGTTTCCTTTTAGGATGTTTAAGAAGTTTTTTGGAGTCACCTCCTTTAAAAATTTCAGATTAAAATAAAAAAGGCATATAATTAAGAATTGATTTTCCCAAGACAACATTGTTTTCAACCACAATCACAAGAATTTTTGTGGGTTGTTAGTTGCACCTTAGGTAAATGGTCTGTGCACAGGGCAGGCATCACCCAGCAGCACTCAACAGGGCTACCAGTTGCCAGGGATTTTGCTAAACTTCACCGACTGAAGAGTGGTTACAGCTGGCTGAAATTGCTCCAGGAAACAATAAATATTAAGACTGCTTAGCTTTTCCTCAGCAGCCAAGCCCTACATCCCTTGGTAAAAAAGTTGCACCCTAGGTGAGTAATCTGTGTATAGGATAGGCATCTCCCACAAGAATTCAAACAAACTACCAGTTGTAACCTTACTTAGTGGGTAATCTGTAAAGAGAAGTTCAGGTATCAACCACAAGAAAATGCCAAATGGCCTGACCACTTGCACCTTAGTATTCAAACTGATATTGCAAAATCACTCTCACCTCTTTTGTGTAATCTTTTAGTACTCCTTGGTACACATTTTTTCCCCCAGGCTGATTTCAAACAAAAAAAAAACAAATATTATTATCCGTGAAAGAGAGAATAATTAACCTTTAAAGAATTAAGGCAGGAACAAAATTTGTTCATTTAATGATCAACACTATTAACAGCATAAGGACAGGCATGCACAGACATACAGTAGGAAGCCTGTGCACTACTAACTACAACCACGATATACAAATTATTGTAAGCATAAACTAACATGTGTTAGTATGAGACCACCTGCTCTATGCTTCTTATGTCTAAGGTTATATGATACAGCTATACATAACAATGTAATGAATTACTGCAATAATTTATTATAACTTTGAACATAATGCATTATTATTATCATTATTATTATTATTATTATTATTATTATTATTATTACCTTGGATTAATGCAGCCTTATAGCCTCTGTTGCAGGCATAATCTAACCCCGCTTAGTAGAATAAAATTGATGTCCTTGTTCTGAGCCCCCAATGGACTCAAGGAAATGCATTTCAAATTTCCCTAATGCCTTTTTTTTAACAGGCGGTACATAATCAAATTCTGGTACACAAGTGGGGCCCAAAACAAGGATTTTGGTGCTGCTTTGTAGATGTTCTTAACCAGGGTTCAATTTAATACAACTTTTACAAAATTTACAAGTGTAGCCATTGTTTTAGAGTCTGAAAGCAATGGCTACACTCCTAAATTACACTTGTAAAAGTATTATTAAATTGACCCCAGCCCAGAGGTTTTGTTCCATCTATGGTGAAGGCTACATTCAGCCCTTCTGTGGTAACTAAAATGTTCAATTATAGTGTTAAACTGAAAGTATTCATGTACCTTGTTGATGATGACTCCAGGTGTTGGATTGCTGGGTACGAAAACATAAGAGGGCACAAATCTGAATCTCTTATAATAAAGTGATTTTTTTACCTGAACCGTAAAACAGATACATGTTCAGTGTACCAAAAAAATACTGCAAAATACAGGTAGCAAGAGGTAAACAACAAGGACAATGGATTTAGTGCAAAATAGTGCGTAGTATTCTACTACCTATTTCACAGGACATTAAGTAAAATCACTCTACTTCTGCACAATACTATTTATTTCTCAGAAAATAAATTTCACAAAAAGAAAAAAAAATTATCGATCTGTTTTTTTGTGATTTTTCCTTTTGCCATGACTGTTAGGGCTGAAAGTGTTTACACCAAGAAATAAAAAAAAGCTTACACATATATGTCACCTTTTTGTTGATTCCACACTTACAATTTGTTGTGAGCGATGTCGTCATACATCATGACCACAATGTTCTCATCAGGGATACCATTCTTGTGGAGAATTTGGTAGGCATGACATACATCCGCCTAGCACAGTGAGAAAAGGAAACTTTTAGGTCTAAATTCTGATATTATCAGATGGTAAAATCGCATCTGAATACATAAACTTAAAGGTAAAGGTGCACACAAGCCAAAGGCACAGACAGCCAGACAAGCTTATCCCGGACTCATAACTAGCATGAATCATGCCTAAGAGTATTGCTACTCCCACCTAGATGGGATGCTAGTCCATCGCAGGGTTATCCCCTAGCAGTATGTAGCCAGTACCCATTTATACACCTAGGTGAAGAGAGAAAAAGTGTAGTAAAGTTCCTTGTCTAAGGGAACACCGTGACAGGCGAGGCTTGAACCCCGGACACCCATATGAGGAGTTTGAGGGGTTAACTGCTTGGCCACCCTGTACATGCCTTCACATGTAAATATATCTACATACTACACAAAAAATCTCTCTCTCTCACGTTCTCTCTCTGAACCTTCAAAATGTTGTATTGAATGTAGTGCAGTAAGTATTTTCAGTAAAATAATTATACATGTATGGTGGATTTCACAGTGTGAAAAAGTTACATGTAGTCTCTGCTCACAGGGTAGTCATAAGACTGCCCTGGATCACAAAATGAAGGAAAAATGAAGGCTTGCAGTATTAAAAATGACTTACACTTCTTTTCATAAACTGAAAGGTAATAATTCATTGTAACTAAAAGTTTTATTTTCTATGGCAAAATTTTACTTTCAAAAAAACCAAAAGTGTTTTTTTGCAGAACTTCAATTAAAATACAAATAAACCATGCAGAAAGTATGTTTTCATCAATATACACGACTAAGCCTTCACTTAACTCTCTTGTCATTTAGGTTTAATTACTGTTCATAAACTAATTATTAATCCTGTCGCAGATGATCAGAAACAGGTCTCTGTGCACCAAATGCAGAGCACAAAACTTGATATGATGTAATGTCTTTAAAGAGAGCAATAAACCACTTAAATACTTTATATGCCACTTGTACAGATAAATATCTCTCTACTCCGCCATTATTTCAAGTGTAATGATAGCATTACGACATCCAAGATTTATTATTAAATTACAGTCTAAATTGTCTAAATTTGTCTGAAAAAAGGTCTCTGCATCCCAAATGTGGGGCACTTTATGCAAGTCATGTCTGTGAAGAGAGGATCGTCTCACTTGAATACTTGACGGGCCACTTGTAATGATGATAACAACAGCATGCGCCTCAAAGTGTGCCTCCACGACTAAGGTCACTACCATTGGTACAAATGTAATATTTTTATCATTAATATTAATATTGATAATATTGTTCTTAATATCAGATCATTAGAGTGTCATTTCATCAATGCGCTAAATTTTATTGTCATAGATGTAAGACACTGACAAAAAAGTCGATCAGTGCAATTCAAAAATGCGGTGTCATTTTTACAGAACGCAATACGGAAGAAAGCATTACAGCACTTGACTGAGGTCATACAGTATTATAGTTCAAAACCATCTTGTGATCATCAGCTGCTTCATTACTAATATGTTAAAAACAGCAGGGCCAAAATGCAAGTAACTTAATGGTTAGGGGTTGGGGGCCGATACCCAGTGCTGTGTGACTGAGAGAAAACTTCAGTGAATAGAACAAGAACAAAAGAAGAGATCTTTTTGAATGCATTAACATCAATTAAATTTAATTATATGGGAAAACTTACATGTAGTCAGTAAAAATGTAAATCTGTACTGATTTTCATCTAAAGCCGCAAGTTCATTCCAAAGCTTTTTTTGTAAGTTGAAATTCTGGAAGATCCCTCCTCTTATACATTCAAAACACGTACACTTAATAAACTTCTACATTAGACCGGAAATTTAGTAGTAGAAGTAGAAGTGGAACTCGTTTTCCTATCGTCCTACGTTCCCTGATTGAGTTGCAAGCGTTCGACCGGGCTGGAATGCGGAATGCGGTCGCGCCCGTCGTACATGTAAGTCAAGGTTAATCTTTTTTACCTAAGTGAATTCCTCTTAATGCTTAGCTGATCAAAGCCTTACTTTATTTTTTTTATACTAGAGCTTCATGCACTGCGCTAGGACTGACCAACAGAAATAAGCTTGAATAGATTTTCAACTTACCTGATGTCTATAATTATACCAACTATTGGAGCCCGCTACAATCAGAGCCCAGTGTTTAGCTTCAGCAGTGCACTCTGCACCCATCGCAAGAAACGAAAGGTAAGTAAAAAACGCTGCTGTTAACATCTTTCTTGTTTGAAAGTAAAACTCTAAAGATTGAGGTAACAGAACGATCTCTTGAATCTTTCGCTCCTTGTCTGCAGGGTCGTCGAGGTTGGTCTTCCGCTGCAGAGCCCGCTGCAGTAGTTTTATTTAGTAATTTAAGTAAGATGCGATTCCCTATTTATATAAGAAAACAGGAAATGTCTTATCATACGACGGCAGTTTTTTTACGACAGCGGTATTTTATTCGTTCCCAATCCTCCATCTGCTAAGTTCTGATAATTTTGAACTTTTGTCAAAAAGCCACAACCACGGCAACGCTGAATTTTCTGTAAACTTACCCTAAAATATTCCCATTTACCGTGTTTATAGGATTGCAGAATTGTGTGGATGTTTTAGGAGTTTTTGGTGCGCCGTCATGAAGGATGGTTAAGCAAGGAATACAGATTTATGCCAGGGCAAAGCCAACCAAACAAAAGTTAACTGGGGTAAGCATGTTGATTGGTACTGAATTATTTGTCACCATTTTTCTTATTTTTGGAATCTATTTTGTGAAGTTGCTTGAAAATTAGTGTAAATATTGAGTATTTCCTCTCTGAGGCAGGGAGTAAAGTCGTGATACTCCTTTATTAATGTAAGAGAGGTGAACAAAAAACTGAAACTTGTCTACAGGTGAAACAGGTCTACAAGAAACCAAGCGTCCGACAGTTCATTTATAATACAACAAATTTAAAAAATAATAATAATTAGTGGTTTGTCTTGCGTTTTAAAAGAAATTTTACCCATTCTGTGACTGGGAATATGAATTGTATCATAGTAAATTTATTGCTGTTCCAGCTGTGGATGCATGACTGTAGTTTTCCTTTTTAATACAACATTGTATTTCCTTGCTTGAGTTAAACTAAATGTGATTAAACAAAATCATTTTGAATTTGTTTAATTAATCTTGTCATTCCTTGATTATAAAACCTACTGTAAAATCATAATGTGAATTGTTGCCTCTGATATTAAATTCAACCTGTGAGAGAAAGCTTTGTGGAGAAAAAAAAAATCAGATATGTACTACTGAATTCAGTGAAGAGATATAAAACAAGCTGACAAAAGTTGACTGAGAGATTCTGTAACAGGGTATTATAATAATTAAATTGTAAGAAAATTAAAGCATTATAAATGAAAGTATCATATTCTACTCATTAACCAAGAGTGACGTCATTACAGGGAAATCTTAGACAGAGGCCTTAATGTATGGAACGAGTGATAGCAAGGTCAATGCATCAAGGCGGAGGTCTGAGATTTCCCCGGTAATGACCGAGCAGATGAGGTTAATACATTATTTCTTTTGCGGCCTTTCTATTATGGACCTGAGCCTGCAATCAATTAAAACCAACAACTGGTCAGCGAATAACTTTAAGAAAACACATCACCTCAATGAGTTGTACTTTTGAGCCCATGAAACAGTAAGGTAACACTGGTCAGTGGATACCATTTTTGACAGCTGTCAATTGACCATAACATGGATGTCCATAAGGATTTCCACCACCAAGTTAACACAGATTGTATATGCCTTGGACTCCTATCTAGTAATGGCTAGTCATTAAAAGAAAATAATGCCTGGTCATTATAAGAAAACAGCCAATCAGCACGTGCCTAATATTGTAGCCATATAATAAATACAGTCAAACTGCCATGTGCAACCACCTCCCATAGGCACTTACCCAAAACACCAAAATTTTCCCAGCCAAAGGTTTATAGTTAGAACCTCTCGTAAAGGGCTTTTGTTTCTTTTATGGGGCTGTTGCTCTTAAGAGAAAAACAAGTAGGTGCGTGGGCAAAATGAGGAGTTGAAAATGATGAAAAATATAGTATCATATGTTTGACAGAAAAGAATTAATAAAGTGCCAATACTGGTCATTTATCAAAGCATCTTTTAGCCACAAAACCATGAATTTTGCAGTAGAGACATTTGTAATGTTTTGGATTTTAGGCATTTTACTGTAGATTCAAGTGAGAATAATACAGAAAATAACTAAAATAGATTCACGTTTTTTTTCTTGATTTACGTTCTACATTAATTTTGGCTTATACAGTGTGTGTGTTGTAGTTAAGTTTTTTTTTTCTTATTTAATTTTTGGCTATGGTAATGTATGCTATGACAACAAGAACTAAACGTGGATTTGAAACATAATAATTACCTGAGTTAAAAAAATTAACGACAACATATACATTTGTTATGTTGTCACATAAAATAAACTCTTCATTTTGCTTTTGCCTTCAGGTAGTTTTTTCCTTTACAAAGCGATGGTCCCTTAAAAGTAACGAAAGCCTCATAAACTACCCTCTCTCATAAGTGATGATGACCACTTTTAGCTGTGTGTGCTATGCTACACAGAATATGATAACAAGAACTAAACGTGGAAACAAACAACTAAACATGGATTTACATACATGTAACCTAAAAATTGCATGCAATACATTCACTCCAAAAAGTAGATGAGTCCAAGCTTCTCCTCGAAAATGACTTCCTGCTGTTTGACTCTCATAAACAACCACTTCCCATAAGCGACCACAAACTCTTTTCATTTTGGGTGGTGACTCTTATGAAATGTTTGACTGTAATAATTATCAATAATACATTGTATATGTAATAAACTCATTTCTTGTTTGTGTTTTAGCTTTATGAAGCTTATGAAGATGACAACGGAGGATCCATTATTGCCTTTACTGTTCCTAAAGATCTAGCTGATGGCTATATCAATAACAAGAAAGAAGTTTATAAATTTAGGTTGGAGCTTTGAATATCATTATTTGGGTTAAATTCACTCGGTTATAATTTTTGCTCAGTATAAGTCATGGTAAATTATACTTGTAAATGATAATGTTTCTTTGACTTTAGAAATTGCTTAGATATAACATGAAGAAACAGACAGAAAACACACTTTATTTCTTTCCATTTTATTACAGTTAATGCGCTTTATGCATGAGCATACAACTAAAAAAATTTGTCCATTTGATTACTGCACTTGAGCATTTGGTAAAAACTCGGTCTGCTTTCTTTTTTAAATCACTCAATTATTAATCAAAAGCGAAAATACCTAAGATGATTTTTTCATTTTTGTCCTGCTTTTTTGAATACTTTCAATCTGATTTGCAATAATATTGTTTTGGTTCAAAAAAATCAAATCAAATCAAATTGAAAGTATTCAAAAGAACAAGACAATACGTCTTTATAAGTATTTTCTTAATTTTTTGATTGATTTATTGATTGCTGGATTGATTTAAAAAAAGAGAGCACATTGAGTGTTTGCCAAATCCACAAGTTTGGCGTTTAGTGGGCCAGTAATGAAAAAGATACACCCATTCATCTCTCAAAATTTACAAAGAAATATTTTGATAGCCAGAAAAGTGTCTGGCAACCCATACATGTACATTAGTTTTGTTTGTTAATTTTCAAATTTTTTTTTTAATGAATGTTTATCGTTTAATGTTGGTCTGATTAACACCAAACTTGTGGTTTTAATAGGCTTGGATGAGCTCTGATAATTCTGTGGTTCTTATTATCCCATACACTGTAAAACATGGACTCATACTCAGTCCCCATCGGTTTAAAACCAATGTGGAAATGTGGTAACAGCCTGCAAACAGGTACCCAAGTGAAGTGGGGCGATAAAAAAAATCGGCAAGCAAAATGAGCCAAGCGTGGCCCAGGGGAGAAAAAAGGCAAGGAGCCTGTAAACTTTGTTTTGATGCTGCTCATCCATGATACCAGATTCTGGTATCATGATCTGATTCAGGTCAGATCACTGACCTTTGACAAGTTAGCAGTAAATATACCCAGGTGCACACAAATGTTTTTAAAGCCAATACATTCCAGCAAAGAAAACATCATAATTTAGCAGGTGAAATTGCCTTATTGACATTTGTTACAGGATAATTGCAAAATATAATTATGGGCAGATGGGCACCATCAAAACAAAGTCCACAGGCTTTCCTGCCTGTTTTCTTTCCCAGGCCACACTTTTTCACCTCACTTTGCTCACTGATATTCTTTTTTGCTCTGCTCCATTTGGCAGCCTGTTCGCAGGCTTTGTGAGGTTTCATGTGTTAAGTCTGTTGACTGTATATTTGACTGTTGACTGTATATTTGTGGTGAATATTTTATTAATAACTGTTACTTTTTATTTCAATTTTCTGCGAGCTAAATAACCTAACTAAAACTTTGTGTTAAGTTTTAAGTAACTGGTCCCTGGATTAGGTAAAGCAACAACAAACAGCAACTAATTTCAAGGAACAATATTATGTATTAATTTATAATAGAAATAGTGGAATAATTTTGTGTATATTATTTTTTGTACATTAAGGTTCAACAGGGTCTTTGATCAGGACTGTAAACAGGATGAGGTTTTTGAGGAAGTTGCACAAGGAGTGATAGACAAGTAGGTTCTTGATCTGTATACTCTTTTTGATACAAGAATATTGTTTTTCCGGCCCAGGCTGAATATTCTTATTTTTCTGGCAATGTCAGGCTGAAAAAGTTCTTGTATTTTTCTTAAATAATTATATAACATTAATCCTTTATTAAGCCCCCCTGCCTTCTCAAATAAGTCCCCCCTCTAATAAGCCCTCCCTTTTCAGAAGAAGATAGTTGATAAGCCCCCCTTCCTCCCCCTTATTATTGCTCACTAATAAAATGATAGACTGTATTAATCAACAACAACTGTAAAACTTTGTGTGGACTGAGCCAGGCTGGTTTATTCACCAGCTGGAAGTTTGGATTTGTGTTTGATCCTTGAATGTATGACCTCCAAGTTCTTGTACTTGTACTTTAATTTTCACTTTGCATTCTAGTTCTTTATGGGGAACTGATACTATCATCTTTTGTGGAATTAAATAAGCCCCCCCTCTCAAATAAGCCCCCCCCCCCATCTCAACTAAGCACCCCCCTTCAAATGTGCTTGAAATAAATAATAAGCCCCCATGGGGCTTAATAGAGCATTTAAACCCATCAACAATAGATAGGTGAGGGGAAGGTACCTGAAGAAGTGGAAGGGGGCCACAAGCGATCTTAGAAGGTAACCATGACAACCCTGAGAGCGGCACCCACCAGACACCATCACACTGAGAATCTCAGGGGAAAAAGGAGGAGATACTTACCAAAACAGCATCCAGAGAGGAGGGAGGGTTTGGGGCAAAAACAACTATAACTACTGCACACAAAAGCAACATGAGCAAAATGATTGACTCCTGCGGAAGTGCTGTAAAATCACTAAGGCCCTGCTAAACCTCAAGACCGCCCCACATACGATTAGTGGTGAAGACAACTGGCCAGCATTGTCTTGTGTTTAACCTTGCCTAAATTACATTTAGCCACATTTACAGTAGCTTATGAAATTTTCTGCGTTAATTTAGGTGTCCACATAATAACAAAAAGTTAAAAACTTTTACAGATTTTGAACACACAAAATTATATCCTTTTCAAAATCTCAGACTTGGGGTTTATTCTTTAAATATTCCCAAAATTCTGTAAATTTCAGCTTGCCTTGATATTCTAATAAAATATATTCTTATAAAAAATTGTTATTAGTAGCACTTAATATCAAGTAGCAAGTACATGTAGATTAAAAATTTAATAGTTTTTAGACATTCCACTAATTTTTGGTCTGTAATTTATTGATTTTAGTGTTTTGACTGGATACAATGGAACAATCTTTGCTTATGGCCAGGTATTAAATTAATTCTGACGGTTATCAAAGTCATGTGTAGGTAGTAGATTATTATTGTTTACTTTAATAGGTTCACCAGCTCTTGATAGGATCACTGCAACGATGCATGGTGCCACTATGCAGGTCCATAACAGTCCCTCCCTTCCCCCCCCTTGCCTTGAGAGATAGACCACGACACCAGAGACTATGTCCCCTGCTCTTTATGAACAGTGCACAGGTTCTTCAATGTCCCACAAAATTCATAGGTGCAACAGTTGTGAGACAGGGCCTACACTTCATCGTCCTTATCCGAAAAACAAAGAAAGTCTAACCATTTGCAGATGTCTTTGCAAAGAGAGCACTTTCTCCTTAGTTATTTAAACATCTTGAGTGTTGGTCTGGCAGGGGTTTGAACCAGCAACCTCTCGCCCAGCAGACTGGCGCATGTCCAATTGAGCTAACCACTTTATACTAGGTTGTTTATTCAACTGCGAGGATCATTAATTTTTTCACTTTCTCATCTTTATCTGCAGTTCAAAATATGAGTCATTTCATATATTAAATATGTGAAACAACTCACATTATATTGAATGGTAATTTTCCATTTCAATAAACTTATTTGCTAATGATGTACGTTTTCAGACTGGTTCTGGCAAGACATTCACAATCACAGGTGGTGCTGAACGTTACGTTGACAGGGGCTTAATTCCAAGATCATTATCATACATCTTTGAGTACTTTGAGAAGGTCAGTGAGCAGATTTGGTATTAATCCCTACCAAGATTTGAAAAACATACATCTTTATTATCCACACGTTGATACTTTTACATCCTCAACTTCAACTTATGGCATATAAATTCACTGCAAACAACGGATCAGGCATAAATAACTGCTCTGAGTGAGATTAGTAAGGCTTGTACAACTCAGAAATCCAATTTACTCGCACAAGTAAATTATGTTATCAATATTATTTCTTCTACAGCATCCAGGAACAGTCTTTACTGCTCACATTTCCTACCTGGAGATCTATAATGAAAATGGCTATGACCTTTTGGATCCCAAACATGAAGCTTCAAAACTGGAAGATTTACCGTAAGTTTGGTAAAACACTCCAAGAAATTTTGCTTTGGTTTATCTTACCTGTTGGACTGAGTTGCCTGCAAATAATATGGATAAACATCACTCAAATTAAACTTGCTGTAAAAAGTCTCTAGAGTTGGCCACAACCCCTGTTGTGGAGGGGCAAGAACTGGAAAATTGTTTTTTGAGCAGTATTCCTTTTGAAGCCCTTAGGCCTGGTTTAAAAGTTGCATTTTAAAATGTGCCAAATCTGATGTAAATTTGCAAGGACAATAGACTTTCCTAGTATTAAATTTGGCATATCTGAAATATGATGTTTGCATGAACCAGGCCATATGGTACTTTAGTCCAAAATATACAATTTCTGTTATTGTCGTCAGACCTGCCCTAAAAATTCTTTTTTGTATTTCTTAGCAGACTCTGGCAGCTTTCACACTCTAATACTACATACCCAGGATTTAACTGCTTGGGTTTGTTTAATAAAATGAGAGGGGCTTCAAAATAATTAATTAATTGACTTTTCTAAAACAAAAGTTGCATCTTTGTGAAAAAGAACTTGCTTCCAGGCCAAACTTTATGCTATTTCAGACTGCAATATTTAAAATCTACGGTAATCCTACTTCAAACCTAAAGCAAACTTCATAAATCATAAGCTTCAGCACTGGCATACATATGCATGAACATGTAACTGTGTGGCTTACATTTAAGAGAGTACCCATCCCTACCACCTGGGTCACAACTATAATATCTTGATGAAGTTAAAGTACAATGAAAATACTTTAAATCCTCTATTAAGCTACCCCCCCCCCCCCCCCACCCGCCTTTTTTTTTTTGGGTTTGGGGGGGGTTTAATAATGGGGGGGGGGTTTTTTTTGGGGGGGGGGTGTTTTTTTTTTTTTCAATTTATTAACCGTAAAAAAAAAATAANCAATGCATGACTGGCTATTAGTAAGACGATTTGAGTGATTTTTCACGTGTTGTACAAGTTATTTTCAAGAATAATATCAGGGTTGTCACTAAGATTTCAACTTGCCGGGTAAATACAATAAGTAGGCGGGGAATCAAACAGCTAGGGATTTCTTTTGGTTCTATTTTTCTTCTATTTTCCTATGAAAGTAGCCGGGGGCCACGTCTTAGTAGCTGGGGGAAATCCCCAGCCCCCGCCTCTTAATGACAACCCTGAATATGGTTTCAGTTCTCCACATTAAAGAACTAGACCGCAAAGTGGAAAAGCTTCCATCCTGAATAAACCATAACAGATCAGTCGACATGAAGAATTACTGAACAGTAAGGTCGTGATTAATTAAGACAGTCTATCAACTATTAATTGTTGGTGAAGAATAAGCGGAGAGGGGGGCTTCAAAAAGTGGGGAGGGTTAATAACTTTCTTCCTCTGAAAGGGGGGTGCTTATTTAAGGAAGGGAGGCTTAAAAGAGGAGTTATGACCATTATTATTTTGTTAATGTGCTCTTTGGTAAAAAGATGCCATTTGATCTCCCTCTAGAAAGGTGACCCTGTTTGAAGACAGTGATAACAATGTTCATTTGAAGAATCTTTCTCTGCATCAAGCCAGTAATGAAGAAGAAGGTAGGAAATATTGATACTGAAAGTAACGCATCAGTTAGAAGAACCTACAGTGTAATCTAAAAAACTGTACGTGGACAGATCAGATAAACTACATTGTACTACTCAAACCTGATAAAAAAATATAATAAATAAAGTCCCCATACCATAAAATAGTGACCTAATAAGCACCCACTTCCAATCAAACACCTGTTATCTAAAAAATTATAAATGCCCCCTCTATGATGTTAAAATTTTATGAGATGCCCCTTTCTAATAAATGCCCCCTGTCTAATAGATGCCTCCCTTATGAGAATTGCTCCAAAATATGCAACTAGGACTTAGGAAAACTGGAAGAAAATCATTCAATTCATTCAGTTTCTTGCTCAGCTATCAAGCCATTTGGAATTTCATCTTGTTCAATGTCAAGTTTAAATTAAGGATGGACTAATGATGGCAACACAATATAACCTTGAGTAGGATTCTGACATTAATGTTGTGATTTGAAAGAGCAATATGGATCTCTAGACAGCCTAGATGTACAGGTGTATCAATTGATGGAGTGGATGTTCCTTTACGTTTTAACTCTCGTGATGTTTTCGCTGAAAGCATAGTTTTGTTGAGCTCGTAACAGTTATGAGAATAAATGCATCTCTCTTTAAACGCATCCTATCTATTAAACACCCCTGCTTGCACTCCTAAAATTAAAAAGGCACTCGGGGCATTTATTAGGTCATTTACGGTATACATTATTTTTATTTCAGCTCTAAATCTTTTATTTCTTGGAGACACAAACAGGATGATAGCTGAGGTGAGATTTTATTTCTGAGTCTGTTAATTTGATTATAATGCCAATAATATGAAATAATACCACCTCTCTGGTTTTGGGCGGTCAAAAACTTTGCCATAATCGACCAGGAGAAACATACAGCAAGTTTGCATCAGCTGAAATAATCTCTGAGGGTGTTATCCACCTCGGTCTGCATAATTCTTCATATCCTACAAAAGCCGAATTCAATAATTATTGCTTTATTTTTCATTCAAAATAATTCCTACTTTAAAAACAAGGTAAAACATGCTTACCTCTGTCAATGTTAGGTTCAACTCAATAGTGCATGCTTATCAGTAAGTTTAGAAGATAAAGGGCCTTTCAGGTCTGCAAATTTACTCCAAATAGCAGATGTTGTTCGTTGAGGTGTCTTCTTTCTATGTTTTTGGATAATGGTTCACCGTGAAACAAGTAAAATGTTCCGCCAACTGTTCCACCATTTTTTTCTCACTACCAAAACAAGTCTTCTTGGTTAACGGTTCAATAATCTGCAACTTTGCTGTACTTTTGACATCATTGGTTCAATAAGGCAAAACTCTTCCAAATTTGGTCAACAGTAGCTGGTTGTGATGAATTGTGCATGTGATTTTAGGCTATCAGAAAAGAAGAAATATTTTGAATGAATAATAATAAACCTTTTTAATCTGTCTAGACACCCATGAATCAGGCATCAACCAGATCCCACTGTATTTTTACCATCCATGTCTCCTCACGTGACCCTGGATCTGCTACCATTCGACGAGCCAAGCTGCACCTGGTTGACCTGGCAGGGTAAGACATTCTAACTGTTATTTAATTCATACAACTTTAATTCCCCAAGGGCCTTACAACCAGCTCATAATGATGTCAAATTTACATTAAGCATGTTAAAAAAGGTTTGTAATTAGACTACTTCTGAAATTTGTGACATGTCAGGAAGACCAAGATGACGGAAGGCCTTATGAAACTTTGCAATATTTACAATTTTTTTTGTCTTTCAACTTGTGTTACCACAAGTTTGCGCAAAGAATTTTACGTTGTCAAGACTCATAATGAATAATATTAGGCAGATTTAGCAAAGCCAATGGAACAGGAACAGTTTTCAGATCTATGCATGCTGTGGTAACTTGGGTTTTTGTTAATTTTCTAACTTTGACTGGTAAAGTAGGAGTTACTATTAAAGAGCCTTATTCCATGCACTTAATCAATTGCACCCTATTTTTTCTTATACTTACAGATCTGAGAGGGTTGGAAAGACCAATGTTGGTGGAACTTTACTCACAGAAGCCAAATATATTAATTTGTCACTTCATTATCTAGAGCAGGTAAGAACAGTGAATTTTGTCTGTCATTCACGATGCCTCTCTATTTACTGGCAGTGTAAATGACTTCTGTGCTGTTCATTCCAGGGAGGTGTTCAGGTTACTCCATGAGTGTTTGGGTGGAAGTGTGCCGCTTGACTGAAATAAACTCCCACAATTACAGACTCTCGTTAATGAGGACACTAACTTGAGGTCCCTACGGCGTACGTCAAAAAGAGAGTTGACTATAGATTTTGTTCAACTGCATTTTTCATCCTATCATGGACTAGAAAATAAACATTCCTGACTGTTGAAATTTATACCTTTAAAGGGGCTATCCAGTCACGAGGATATTGCTGCCTTAGATCAATTCTAGGCTGAAGTCATCACTGATTGCCTTTACCCAATATCAGGGCTCGAAAAAAGTCCCGTCCAGTCATCCAGGATGAGTAGTTTTTCTTGCCAGGCTTGTAACTGTTAAAGCTCACTTTCCTGATGGGCAAGGGTGTGGCAAAACGTGTGAGATTCTTGCCCAAAGGACATGCTAGAATTCAAGCTTTTTTCGAGCGATGCATATTATACAAAATGCTCTCGTAGGGTTATGAAGGAGATATCAAACAAATTAGTAGTCCCTCGTGGGCGGTATAAAATAAAAGCCGCTACATACTTACAGGTACGATCGGTAGGCAACGTTGTCCACGGTCCTTCGTCAAGATTTTATAATTTCTCGAATTCGTTGTTGTTGCCGCTGCCGAACGAAAACGTCACTTAAAAAGTGAATTCGCGCTGCTTCAAACTTAATCGCGCTTTTTCCATCTCGTTTAATTCGTCAAATGTTGGCAAAATTTTGTGGAGTTGAATTCTAAGGGACTGTATTAAAGTTCAGGAAAAGAAAAGGAAAGTTGTCGTCTTGTATTCCTGTAATCCACAAAACGTGAAATTAGGCACTTTCACGTTGTAGTCGTGCAACGACAGAAAAAAAAATGTACAAAAAACGTGATGCACGTGCAAATTTGTTGTTTTGCTAATATTAACCTATTGCTTTTTCGCCGTTCTCGTTTCCGTCGCCGTCAGTCTCCAATTGCAAACTGGACCATTTTTTTGGAATCCAGTTGATGCGAGGAGCTGTATTAGCTTTTAAAAAAGATAGCATATACATGTAGCGTGACATTTCCCTTTTAATAAGTGGTAGAAAGCCTAAATATGACCGTACGTGCGCGTACCCACTGGTTAGTTAACTATTGTTCTACAATTTGTATCTTTCTGTGAATTAATAGGTGATAGTGGCATTGTCAGACAAGTCCAGGAGTCACATTCCTTACAGGAATTCCATGATGACCTCAGTCTTAAGAGACAGGTGACGAAGTAGCCTGTATCACAGATGTAATCAGACCCCAGTTAGTAACATCTGTGAAGCAGTGTCGATATTCTTGTTCTGGGGCCCCAACGGACTCAATGAATTACCAGAGATGCATTTTAAATCCCCCTTCAATCTGACTGGCAAATTGACAGTGGCACTTTTAACAGGCCAATTATGGCACGTACTCAAGTCCCATTACACAGGTGGGACCCAGAACAACGATTTTGGCACTGTTTCACAGACGGACTTAACCAGAAATTTAGTTCCATCTGTGGCACAGGCTAGTGTCAGAAAGCAGAATGAAATTTAACAGAAGTAAACATTTGACCTCCCTGTATGCATATCATGTTCAGCAAAGGTTTTTATTCTTATGTCTGTTATGATCTTTATGTTTTAGTCTTGGAGGAAACTGCATGACCACAATGATAGCAACATGTTCCCTTGAAAAGAAGAACATTGATGTAAGTTTGTTTGCTGTATAATTTGCCAAGATCCTTATTTTTTTGTGGCTGCTGTAACTGAACGAAAGTTTCTGTGCATGTTGTTTCTAAAAAGAATAGGAACGAAACCTTTTGTCGTCACTAAGATACATGTACTTCCGTTGATATATCCTTGATGTTATCTACCAATTGAGTTAGACACCAACCCCGCAGGTCGTCAAAAGTGCCGGTGACCAGTGATGACGCAGCGTACCTCTGTGGTTTTAGTGACTACAACTCGCTGTTAAAAGAAAAAAATGGTGGAAATAAAACCAAGGCCAAACGTCGAACTTTTCATGGGTCAAACCAAACTCTACTTTGGGTCGACCTATATTAAGTTAAGAACGTCTGTCAGGTCAGACGTCGAACCTAGGACGCGTCAAACTAATAAACTGAATCGTACCAAAAAGCAATTTTAATACCTTTTCTCCCGAATAAGGCTAAAAATACATTATCATACAAATTTTAAATTTATTGGTTTAGTGCGTTGCATGTGAAGATCGACGTTTGTCCCGGACCGAGATGATCTTCAGACGTTCTATCTGTCTGAAGCAGATGGAAAGAACGTGTTCTAACGTGGTGGACGATCCAAACTCGTTCAAAGGAATTCAACTGATCCAGACATCGAACTTTTCATGAACTTAAGTCACTAAGTTTGGCTCATCTCATGAAAAGTTGGACGTTTGGCCTATGCCTAAAGGTGTTATATCATTTTTCCATTGCTGTCTCCTTCCTAACTTTCTCCTTCTTCTTGAATTCGTTCTAACAACCCTGGACCAGGACGTAGGCTAAGCCCGAAAGAAGCGATCCAAATCCAATCAAAGTCAACTCCCTTTAAGATGGAAACTAATGGTACCATCACTACCCTATGCCTTTTTTCTTAGATAGGTTTTTGCCTTTGTAATGAGTTAACCCTTTAAGCCCTGAGAGTGATCAGTATCAAAATTCTCCTTGTGATATCAATGCTTTATAAAACCGATTGGTGATAAGAGTGAAGGACATGATCACTCAAGATATAATAAGTTGATACTTCAACAACTTCTCGCTACTGCTTTTATAGGAAACGTACAGGGACAGCAAATGGGAATTTGAATTTTGATATCAGCTCTTAAAGGGTTAAAGGAAAGGACTGAAGAACAGCAGGGACTAACGTTGATTGTCCATTTTATAGAATTGTCCATTAAGAAAGAGTTGACTGAATTTATACAGACAATTCTTCTTGTGCCTTTGGGAGAATATCTGTCTAAATCTGTTTGTCTTTTTGTCCCGTCCAGGAATCCATTTCAACATGTAGGTTTGCACAGAGAGTAGCCATGATAAAGAATGATGTCCTACTGAATGAAGAAATAGATCCTAAATTGGTAAGTTTTTGTCATATAGCTTTTTTATATACAAAAAAAGAAATTAAACTCGGGAAACCTTGAACATGTAAATATTTCAGGAATGTTGATGGTGTAGCGACCAAGAAAGTTCTGGACATGCGAGCAAACCTCAAACCCACAAAGTCATTTTTTTTTTGGTTGTTTGGTTTAGTTTTCTCACCCTTGAATGTATTTTTCCATCCAACACAAATAACATTTGAGAAGTATTTCTGGTGTTCACACTTAATGTGATTTTCGCCATAAAACGTGTGAAATGACATTTATCACATTTTTCCCTAGCTGATTGCACAACTTAAAGCAGAAGTCCAAAGGCTGAAAGATGAACTAGCAATGACCACTGGACAGGAGTACACAGGAGAACTAACAGAAGACGAAATGGACAGGTACTAATCATAAGTTAGAGCTACTATTTAATGTTGGCCGTGAAACAAGGTCTAGCAAATTCTTTTTGACAATTTAAGATGTTGTGCTGTTGTATGTACGTAAAACAGATACATGTAAGTTAAAGGTAAGGGAAGGTTTGGTCATGTTCAAGACGTTGCCTGAAGATTCTGTGGCATGGAGTGAAGTGAAATGAAGTGAAGACTTTATTTAAAGAGGGTAACACTTGAGTGTTATAATAGGAACTGATAAACTTGTGGCCCTCAAAAAACAAGGAGGAATGAGGAATGGAGCTTGCACAATTATATCCCCAAGACCTTCTTGTAATATTGTTTCATAGCCAGATGGGTATAATGACATACAGCGGAGCCCCGTTAATACGGTCACCAATGGGCCAAAAAAAATTGGCCCTATTAATGGGGTGACCGTATTAACGAGGGTTTTTTTACAAGAAAATTCTTGTTGGTTTTTGACAGGCGGCCAAAAAAAGTGGCCGTAATAACGAGGTGACCGCATTACCGAGGTGGTCGTAAGGCGGGGTTTCACTGTAGCACCCAAGGCTGTGTTGGCAAACCCTGGGTTGTATTAACATAGCAACCAAAAGTGTATTAACATACATGTATCCTTTTAGGTACATAAGCATGACAACCAAGGGTGTGTTCACATCACCCCTGGGGTACATGAACATAGCGTCCATGAGTGTGTTAGTACGATCATAGCCCTAGGGGTACATGGATGTAGCAACCCAGAGCATATTAATGATATTGCCCCTTGGGTGTGTATTAATGTACAACCAAGGGCATATTAACATTGGACATTGCTGTATTGGTAAAGCAACCAACCGCTTCAAGCCACTCCACACCAACACAGCTCGCACAAAAACCACTCAAGAAAAAACTAGACAATCCTGACCAAGCAACAACGTTCCATCTGAGCCTACACTTGTCGGTTTGACCGACTGGTGCAGATTACTAAGCTCGTGGCGGTTAACTTTATTAAATTTTCGATTTAATAATTCAATTCAAAAGTCAGTATTTAGTTAAATCGAAAATTTAATAAAGTTAACCGCCACGAGCTTAGAATACTGACTTTTGAATTGCTTTTACAGACTGCGCAGAGTGGTAAAAAGTTACATCGAGGATGCTGATCCAGAAGCAGCACTGAGCGTCGGTGCTGACATGAGAAAAATCAACTATTGCTTCCAACTTCTTAAGGTCTGTTAAAACAGCATAATATTTTGTTGTAATGTAGTTCTTCTGTAAGTTGCTACAGAAAGTACTTTGATGTTGCAGTCACGGTCAACTTATTATATTGATCAGGTTATAACTAATTACGGTAAATTTAATATACACTTCCCTTTCCTTCTCTTTGAAATAATCTGGATGAAAATTAAAAAGTAGTTCTTTGCATTTATTTAAGCAAACGATGAAGGCAAGTCCTTTATCCACTTACTTTTGATGTCGGCTAGCATGGTGTCACTTACCCTTATCAATGTAAACTTTATAGTTATCTGGTACCGTTTTATTTTTGTGTTATTCTGCTATATTTTTTAGTTACTTATTTATGAATTTATTTATTTATTTATCATTATTTTTTCTCCTAAATTTAAGTTTGTTATTTTGAGAGGCTAAGGTGTTATTTGTAGTTGTAACTGTCATTTTTATGCATTTGGTATTATTGCTTTCAGACTCATGTTTTAGACAAAGGCAAGAAGAATCCTTCCCCTCCGCCACAAAGGTAAATGTTTGCCCTGTTGGATATGAACATGTGTGAAGGTTACCACCCACGAAAAGAGCCAACACGTGGAGTAATGTATCAAGGATGAAACACTGAGAAGATAGTTGAAAATACGACGCGCAGCGGAGTATTTTTGACGAACTTCGAGGTGTTTTATGTGGTGATGAAACACTGTGTGTTTAGAATGAGAAATTAACAATGCAAAAATGGGCAGTTTTTCATTTGGTTTCCAAACACTCATTAAACTTTAATTTCCTTTGCATTTTCTTCATGAGTTATTAATGAGTTTGAGAAGTAAAGAAGAAAAATCATGTTCTCTATTGCTGATAAGGGGCCACACATAGTCAAACGACCTATCTTAAGGGAAAGAAGCAATGGAATGTGATTCAGACCGACAAGTTATTCTCTTAAATTTTCCCAACAAATCGCTAAAACCATTTTGTGTTGTAGCGTAGAGGTGAAGAGGCTAACTTGTGAAACTCCGGATCTCTTCAGGTCCGGTCACTCCACTATGTCTTTCTTCACCCAGGGGTGAAAATGGGTACCAGCCACTTATTGCTTTGCGGGTGGGGGGGGTACCCTAGGATAGACAAGCATCATCATTCAGGGAGGAGCGACAATACCCTTAATACCCAATATCCAATGTTACGGAGACTGGGTTATTCCTACCCCCTCTCCCAAGTGGATCGAGTTGTGCTGAAATTATTTTTTCTTTGTAACTTTTGAATCTGTAGACGAAAACTTACGGTTTTGCCTTTTAAACGAACCCTTTTTGGTAGAATTTTCACGTAGTACTGTTTATTTCTCAGGATTTTACTGAAAGAAATTTGGAATTTCTTGTGAATTTCCACTTCGCTCTCTGTAAGGTCTGAAAGCGTTTAGCCCCGGCCTTGCGTTACTCTCATTGGCTATTGTCCGCCCTTATCATACCATCCTGTAACGTTTAAGGCTCAACTCGTTACATATGTAATGTAGTGCGTTCTTTTGTTCTCGTCTATTTCTCTTTCTAGTAGAACCCCAGCTAGTGATGGCAGCTTTGATAGCAGTTACCTTGGTAACCAGACGGAGCTGAACAAGCTGAAAGAGCTCATCCGACAGCGAGACAATGAGATCAATATCCTTTACCATCGGTTTGAAAAGAGGTATTGGTTTAACAACTGGCTACTGTGTTGTGGCTGCATGAGACGGCTAACCAAGGGTTATGTTTTGCTAGAATCGTAATCAGACCGTTACGTTTTTTGTTACACCACTTCTGCTCACGGGTGTTGGTGGGCAACAATGTTTGATGCGTATTTGCATTATGGCATCCTCGCTCTACCCAGCTGCCTAGCCGTTCTAATCAAGGGTAATGGGCGGTAAAGATCTTAAGTTATTTAAGATACACCGTTTCTCTTTATGGCCGCGAAAATGTTTGCCACGAACATATATATGTTGTGGTTTAATGTTATCCATGGTTTAAATTTTATTTTCTTTTGTTTTTTGGTATGTTTATGTACGATAATGAGATTGAAATAGAGGAAAATAAAATTTTTACCAAGGATAAAACTAAACCGCAACATATACGCAACCGTGATTTCTCGGACGTGATAACGCCATCACCGTTGTAGAGGGCAATCTACCCGTATTTCCGGCTGATTTATTCTTACCCCTCCCGTACATGGAAACGGTGTATCTTATGGTCTCTACTNGTAACCAGACGGAGCTGAACAAGCTGAAAGAGCTCATCCGACAGCGAGACAATGAGATCAATATCCTTTACCATCGGTTTGAAAAGAGGTATTGGTTTAACAACTGGCTACTGTGTTGTGGCTGCATGAGACGGCTAACCAAGGGTTATGTTTTGCTAGAATCGTAATCAGACCGTTACGTTTTTTGTTACACCACTTCTGCTCACGGGTGTTGGTGGGCAACAATGTTTGATGCGTATTTGCATTATGGCATCCTCGCTCTACCCAGCTGCCTAGCCGTTCTAATCAAGGGTAATGGGCGGTAAAGATCTTAAGTTATTTAAGATACACCGTTTCTCTTTATGGCCGCGAAAATGTTTGCCACGAACATATATATGTTGTGGTTTAATGTTATCCATGGTTTAAATTTTATTTTCTTTTGTTTTTTGGTATGTTTATGTACGATAATGAGATTGAAATAGAGGAAAATAAAATTTTTACCAAGGATAAAACTAAACCGCAACATATACGCAACCGTGATTTCTCGGACGTGATAACGCCATCACCGTTGTAGAGGGCAATCTACCCGTATTTCCGGCTGATTTATTCTTACCCCTCCCGTACATGGAAACGGTGTATCTTATGGTCTCTACTCTCCCGGCATTAACGGATACGGTACGAGTTATTTTACCCCTGCACGGAAGCGGTGTTTTTTTAAGGTCTCTGTTGTCATCAGTGTAAACGTGTGGAAGTGAGTGACAGTGTCGCATTTCAACACTGTATGTAACGTTCTGCGCAGGTGGTTTCCTTTGAATGGTTACAATTATGTTATTGCCCACAACCGGGTCAAGCTCCTTGGCATGCTAGGCAAATAGTGCTTCTAGTAAATGAATGGTCACGTTTAAGAGTTACCTCAGGAACATTAGAAAATTTGTGCCAATTTCTACTTTTGAGCAACTAATAAAGTACTTCTCGAGAGCACCAAAGTAACAGGGATTTCATGTTTCATCAACTTCCGGCTATTCTGTGATTGTACTTGTTTAACTTGCCTGAAGGTATTTTCAGGTTTACAGGCTGTTGAATTTAATTCTTAAATCACTAATTTAATCAATTACTAAGTATAAATTTGCCTGGCTTGAATAGAGTTTCAGTGTTAAAATATAAAATATCTCATTGTTTTAACTTATGTAACGTAAACCTACCTTCTAAGATCTAAATCCGTCAACTATAACCTGTACAAATTATAACATATATTAACTATAACTTAATTTTGAATATTTTAGGATAACTAAAATATCAACTTTTGGTAAAAATAAAAAAGCTAAGATCGTTAGTATAAAATCACGTCTGCTCCTATTGATCGTGAGACTGGCTAGCTTACGTCACTGGCGTAATCTTACCCCGGTTAGTAGCGTCTGCGAAGTCAGCGTCGAGATCCTCGTTCTGGGCCCCCAACGGACTCAACAAATTAACGGTTTATGCGTTCGGAATTTCCCTTTACCCTGATTGGCAAATTGACAATGGCTTTGTAACAGTTCAGTCGTTGAGCGTCCTCAAATCCCAGTACACAGAACTCAAAATTACCGATTAACATCACAAATATGAAGAAAGGGATTAATGGCGCACGCCTTATACTACTAACATGCTTCAATTTTATTTGCCCTTGAGACGACCATCCTCGCAATGTTTTCATTTAACAGCTACTAACAGTTTCGTTCATTTATCGCTTTTGTTGTTGTTGTTGTTTTTGTTTGCTCAGTTGGTTAACAGATTTTCACACTGATAAGAAACCCCGCGTTGAATTCTGGCAGTTAAAATATAAATTTATTACACTGGAATTAGGCAAGAATGGGCGACACTCTCTTGAATTGTAACTGTAAACAGAAGCTGATAATGTAATATGTAAAAAAGACTTTTTCAATTTTTTGCACTTTTTCCCTTTTAAAGTATTTTCATGTGCTCTGGCTTGGCGTTTTCGCACCCTGTCATTGGTTGAAAATTGATGGAGTACGTCCCATACAAGCCAGAACAGACATGCCTCTGTTTTTGTTTTACAAGGCTTATTATTGCAAACAGCTCTAACATTACAACCCTGTGTTTCTCAGGCTTAACTGGGAAACAACCGGACTGACTAGTCGCTATGCTTTACTAGCGAGCGGCACAAACCTGTTTAAACTGGACGAGGCTTTTAAGTTTACCACAGAAGATCTAGGCCACTGGAGCTTCACGGCGACCTCGCACAGGGACGATACCGCATTTATAGGACAAATGGATCATGAAGCAATGCTCACCCTTGCCAAATTATCCGCTGATATCGAGTGTTTTACCCTGAGGGAGTTAAAACAAATGCATCGGCGTTCTCGAGTAGCTATTGAAGCTGAGATGACTAATAACTTGCATATACATAAGCGGATATTAAAGCTGTTGGAAGATCACGTTGTGTTCGACACGGAGCAGCAAAGAATGCAAAGACTGAATGTCGCTCGTAAAGAGGCGATGGCCAGTTATAAGAAAGCCTTGGAGCGCTGCACGAGAACGCACGACAAGCTGCGAGATGCTGAAAACAAGAGACTGAAGGCTGAAGAGGAATATCTTGACGCTATGATGGAGTTGAACAGAGATGAACAAGAAAAGAAAAGGATTATTTCTGTGATCGAGAACCAACATGTTGGCGAAGGAGCACGAAGAAGGACAACCTCAATGTAACAAGCAGAGTCAAATTTAAGGGAAAAATGAGCGCTGAGATAGTCAAACCTCGAACTGCACAGGAGGCGATTTAAAAGAAGTGCATGGCTGCCAGAAACCTTTCGTTTTCCAAGGCCAAATTAAATTAAACAAGAATTTGAAAACAGAAAACGTGTGTCCTGTAGGCTGTAGTTTACTTTAAAGAAAAACTATTCCAACTTCCGTGAAGTAGAAGAAACGTACCGCAGGAACAGAAAATGATAATACTAAATGACTCATGTTTAGAATCGGTTAAAAAATAGAATGATTTCCCCAAAAACTTCAGGGCTTCGACCATTTTTATAGTTATACTCTAAAAATAATAGTTTGTGCACCTCTAAAGAATATTAAAAAATATCTAAATAACTGTAAATGGTTTGGTAGATTTTAGCCGTTGCACGTTTTTCTTGAAAGACAGATCAATTACAAAAATTCCGTTGATGTAGCAGTATGCCACGGGGAAATAATGCTTTTGGTAGTATTAAAATTGATAAAAGCTTTTGAGGCACACATTTTTATTACAATATTGTATATGTTTGATAAAAGTAGTAATAAATTGTTAAATAACTGCCGTTATTAACTGGCCCTTATTGTTTAAAACAGAGATTATTCTAAGGTGAAAACCATTTTTGCATGGTCACGTGCATACTCTAATGATAAATTTTTTAGCCAAATTTATTAAGGAAATTGAGTGATTAATAAATAAATGCATTGTGGTTGCTAACAAAGTAACCATGATAATTTTGTAGTAAAATCTTAAGTAAAAAATAAAAGTGGAAAATTTGAAAAGTGAACACGGCATAACTTCTAATTCGTAAATGAATGTTTGTGTAAAAAAAATTGCTGCGTGTCTAAAGAGGATCTGACGATAATATACCGTTTATTTAACTTTTTCTTCAGTTATTAGAGTTCAAGATAATATGAATTTCCCTTTTGAAAAATATCGGAAACATTTCATTTTAGTAATAGTCGCACCGTTTCATTCCAGATTGAAAAGTTGGTCCTATTGTCTGAGCCAATAAGCGTCACATTTTGGCTCTAACTTTTTACAAACAGAATATGTATATATTTGTTCAAAACTAGTGTATCAGCCATAAAAAACTGCTCCTTCTCAGTACAGTTGAAGGGGAGAACTTCTATTGTTCATTTTATTTATGTACACGTTCCTTCCAGCTTTCCCCCCACCTCCCCCTTCCACACCTGTTTTTGTTGTGAACATTTACCACTGGTGGCGACACTGGTGGCACATCAAAACCAGTGGCATGTAGGCTTGGCTACATAATTCCCAAAATATGGCCTAAAATTCTTTCCGGAATGTCCCTGGAAAATGCTGTAAAATTCTTTTAGAAACGTCTAAAATTCTCCAAAAACTCTCTAAAATTTCCAAAAATTTCCAAAAATTTCCCTTTTTTTGATAGCGAGGGCCCCTTTTGGTGAATAACTGCTGATAAGTTGTAGTGTAGACGACTCTGATGAAACCCGCTGATTTGTTGAGTTTAGTAGACTAGTAGACAGTACTCTAGACACTGCTGTTGCATGTAAGCGGACTGACCCCTCTCTTCATCGGTAGGAATATAACAAAAAACGTTTTGTCAACGTTTTTGCCGTGAAATATTGCCAAAATGTCGGGTGAATGTTCAAATTGCTCCCAAAAAAATTCCGGAATTATGCAGCTAAGCCTAGTTGCATGGATGATTTTTTGCTATTTTCTCCTATAGTGCTGGTTGAGTAAGTTTCTTATTTAATTCGGGAGCCAATCAAGCATGCTGTCACGTATTTTCCAGCGTTTTTCTCCAGCATATTCTCCCGCTCTTTTCGCCTGGCGAGCGTTTGACACCAGCTGCCTGTCAATTAAGAGAGTTGTGATTGGTCCATCAAATGTTAGAAAAGCGCACGCAAAGACTATAAATAAATAATAAAAATTTTGACAGTTCACTTGCAAAACCAATGAACTGGTAACCCGTCACGAATTGACGCGGCTTTAACAGGAGTAGGGGTCGGGAGGGTCCGTCTTATAGACACTAAAGAAACATTAATAAATAATTTTTAATTGTTTTAAACTAGTGGAACCAGTAAGCTTTGAGTAGATAACAACCGCTAGGAAAGAACATCTAGTTGGACAAATTTTAGGGTTTGTTGTATAAAGATGAATTTGTGATCATGTTTTTTTAGCTTTTAGGATCTGTACAGAGTTCTAATGAGCGAAAAAATATGACTGATACTAGATTTAAATAAAAATTGACGACAGTAAACTGTAACAACGAGAAAATGTTGTCTCAAGAGAAAGAAAATGAGAGGGCTCAGCGTAGGCGATGTTTTTAAGGTGGTGGTGATCGGGTTATTCTTTGATTTTTACCGTCTGACATCATGTTGCCGGCTGAGAGGCTTTTGGCGGGAAACAGTTTTATTGTTTTATGTCATGTGACTTCGAAGTAACCAATGAAGTCGCTCGCTGTTGGGGTAAAAATTCTAGCTGTGTAACAATGCACCTTAACTAGAACTCAGACATCTTGGTCGGCATGTTGAAGAAAGAAAAAAAGCGCACGGCTGATTTAGAGATGTCTGCGCGACACGGAGGAGGCCCGTTACAAGACGGGGTGAGCGCGGCACGTGAGAGGGTGAGGAGAAGCACCAGTCAGACCTTGAGCGATGACTCAGAGAGCGAACTGTCCCACCTGAGGTCTGCCAGCAGAGCAAGAGTGAAAGAAAGGCCGTCTTCTGATACTACGGAGGTGTGTCTACATTTCTTGCATTTGCCCGTCCCAATCAATATTGGGCCATTATCACCCAATATTGTTGGTTGCATTATCATCCAAAATTGCTAGGTAAGTCAAAGTGATTCTCGGAGGCGTGGTGGTCTTGTCATTAACTCATCAAACTTTGCTTCTCAAGATCCGGGATTCCTTGGACTGGAAGCTTTGCGCCAATCAATGCTGGGCCATTATCATCCAACATTGTTGTTACGTTATTGATTCTAGGAGGCGTGGTGGTCTTGTCATTAACTCATCAAACTTTACATCTCTGGGTCATAATTTTAGTTCTTACCATGGCATTGTTTCCTTTTTTCCTTTTCCTCGATATTTTCTTTGTCAAATTAACTTTGGCGGTTACCCTGAGATGGACAAATATTCCATCCGATGGGGGGCATATTACTCCTAAGTTCTTATCCGGGATAATCATTAGCCCGTAAGGAAATCGGCTGAAATCATACCCAAAGCTGTCCTTTCTCAAGTTAAATCTGACTGACAAACATGTTGGGCGATATTGTATGTTGTTGGCTAACATTAGACGAGGTTTGAATCTGTTTATTACCGATCTCGGCATGAATCTCTCCATGACTCGAGTTCTTTTTCAAGGTAGCCTGCATAACAGGCGCTTCATGAGCCAAGCGAGGCAAAGGCGGCATTTTGCGCGTCTCGCGCTTCACGCAAAATGCCGCGTTCCCCTCGTTTGGGTCAGAAGCGCTAATCCAAGGTGGAGACCCCTACGATGCTGAGAACGTGCTCTAGTCCATGACTCTTTATCTCGGGACCAAGCTTAACCCTTTAATCGCCTAAGAGTGATCAGTATCAAAATTCTCCATGTGATATCAATGCTTTATAAAACAGATTGGTGATGAGAATTAAGGGCATGATCACACAAGATATAATGAATTGATACTTCAACAACTACTCACGACTACTTTTATAGGCAACGTGTAAGGACAGCAAATAGGAATTTGAATTTTGCTATTAGGGATTAAAGGGTTAAAAAAAAAAGGTTTACCATCCCTTAGTCACTCCTTGAGCGGTGCAATTTTTTCCTTGCAGAATCGTCATCACCCACAAGCTTCTTTAGAAGAATCAAACCACCATCGGCCTTCATCTGCGTACAGACGAAAGCTTGGTATGTTGCCGCTTGGTTTTAGTCAAGGAATTGAGACCCGGAGGAGCAAAATATGGAGAACGTTTATATCCTCTGGGGAAAAGATTATTTTTGATTATTCTTAGGCCATAAGGAATCGCAACCCAAATCTAAAAGGTTTGAAGTTTGCGGAAACACAAACTGTTAAGGCAGATTTAATGTTATCGCTACGATCTCAGACAACAAAAGACCAGCGATGGTGACAAACTCCTTGACCACAGCGATCATAATGAAAGCCAGCGTTAAACATAGAACTGAAGTTTGTTTGTTTCAGCAATCGTTGAAGAGTTGTTTCCATATATAATTGCTGCGATCGTAGTGATCATACAGGACGTTAACGCGCGTGTTTGATGCTGTTCAGTGTTCACCCTTCTCGCTTATGTTTTGTTCCTCCTCTACTTTTTAGATGAAATGTCAGTGGGAAGAAAAGAAGCTTTTGAGACTTTCCGGCGAGACTACGTGCATAATGACACGATAGAGGAAAACAAACACAACCTTAAGCAAAGGTTGGTATTTATGTGATGTCCAGTGTCTCATTACTCAATGCCATTCTAATTTTTTCATTATCGATTTTTATCTTCAGATACGCGGAAGCCAAGAGACTTGGCGAGCAAGTAAACACATCGCGCCAAAAAATAAGTACGTTACTCTCCCATCAACATCTAGCATTTGCCGTAGACTATTTTAATTAATTTATCTCTTCTATGATTGCAGACTCAATAAAAACCCAAATCGAGCAACACAGAGTTCGTCGGTCAATGCAAGGTATTTTAAACTACTAACTTAGTACTACTGTTAGTGACAGTGATGCTGTTCTGTTTCTCGAAGTTCATTCGTTTTTTTGTATTTTTAAGGTTTTGTTAACGGAACCGAGGGAGTTGAGGATATCGACCCAGTAGAACAGAAACTTAGACAGGCTATCGAGGAGGAGAAGACAAAGTGAGTAACATAAACATGTGTTGTTGTCCGAAAAACGCCTCTCCTTTTTGCGCAAGTTGTTTTCTTTTGTTGTTAGTGGGATAGTAGCCCTCCAAGCTCCCTTATCTTAAGCTGATTGCAGCGCATATGTGAGCAACTCGTCTTGCGGCGGGTCCGTGGCTGTTTCTAAGGGAAGTCCACCCGGAGGGCGGTAACTGTAGAGAGTGTCACCGACTACAGGCTAAGTTCGCTTGAGGGACCGAGTCACCTGCGGGATATCAGGTTCGGGCAAATGGGGCTCTTTATCCTTGTCCGGAAGCCCATCTAGAAGAAGGAAACTTCAAACCCAAACCAGGCTTGGAGAGGGATGGTCTCCGCCAGGCTTTATTTGCCCATGATACGCCGTGGCGCCCCAACGGTCACCATGACTATGGGGTAGGTGTAAGGTGCAAGTGGGGTAGTCATTTTCTGACCTCTCGAATCAGTTAAGCTAAGACTATAAAAACTAGAACCAACCACAACTTCTCGCCTTTTGCGGTAAATCTCACTGCAGTTATTAAGTAATCCGTTGAACACTTCTGTTTTCCCACTAAGTTAAGGTGCTTTGCAATATTTTTTCTGCTTAGCACCCCTTTTGTATAATCGGATTAGCCATTTATTACTTTAAGATTTTAGTGTTGTAATGCGCATTCGATCATATCTTTATCGCATGCTAGACTGCGCAATATAAGAAACAAACATTGTTATTATTATTATTCGTCGTTCGCCACCCGTTCCCAATTTTCCTGCGCTTAAGGAGGTGTTACACAAGACGATTCGCAACGACGATTTTTAGCACAACACAGAGTTGCAACATTGTTGCGACATTGTTTTGAATGCTTGCAACATTGTTCCAACATTGCAACGCTGTGTTGCGCTGAAAATCGTCGTTGCTAATCGTCCGTGTAACATCACTTTTAAGCCTTTTGACAGATACCCCTTTTATGTTTTTCCTACGCCATACTTCTGACGCATAATTTCCTGTCCTTTATAGTAACCCCTTGTTATGATCAATTAGCACCCTGTCATGTTGTCGGTTGTAACCGTGATAAGCTTCACTTGTTTCCCGCGCCTGGTTCAGAGCCCTATGTTTTAAGCGACATCTCTTTGTTTTTGACAGTTTTCTTAGCTTAGTCCTGAAGATTAATATGTATTTCATACAATCCCTACCTCTATAATTATACACTCCGCAGACCTCTCTCAACCCGCCAGGACGCTTTTGACTGCCCGTTGAAGTCCACGTTACGTACACTCGATTGCTGTGTGTTTGTAGATGCAGTGAAAGCTACTACGACGTCGTAAAACGCATTATATTACTTTTGTTTCTTTGATCAGATACAAGGAGAGTTTTACTCAGCTCAAATCTCTTAAAACCGAGATTGAGCATCTTCAACATCTACTAGAAAAATCCAAAGTTAAGATGCAAAAGGATTTTGAAATCTGGTGGGCGGAACAGGCGGCTTTCAACCAGGTGTGGATAGAAACTTCTTTACGGTCGATTTGTCAGTCGCTAAACAATCTTGCCATACCTCTTTCTCATAGGGCCCCATGCAAAGTAATCCAGGACAGTCTTGGATTCTGGATTCCACGCTGTGGATTCCAGATTCCAGGTACTCGATTCCTGATTTTCGAGTCAGTGAAACTTGGATTCAGGCTTCCAATCCTTAGTGGGATTCTGGATTCCTTTAGCTTAATACCGGATTCCAAAGCCTAGGATTCCGGATTCCGCAAGAAAAAGTTTCCCACATTCCAGATTCCACAAGCCGAAATTTCCCGGACTCTGGAATCTGGATTCCTTTACATGGGCGAGTCGGTTTTTGAGCATGCATATTCGCCTAACTTGCGCAACGAACGTCCTTGTTACAAAAACGAAGAATCAACGGCTTGTTTTTGTTGAGCAATAAACAACTTTACAGCTTGGTCAAACCGAGCAGCATTCGCTGTCGTTGCAGTGGTTATGACTGCTTTTGTGTCAAAAGCGCACTGCTGTATCGGCCATAAATTTTGGAAAGGAAGGCAGAGAAGAAAACTATCTGAAACGGTTTTTCCATTGCTTGGTGTTACTCATCTTGGGCCCTTGATTTACAAACAATAGCAAACAAGGCACAAACCTGGTCATATTTTATGAAGTGATGAAATGTTGTTGGACGTCGAGGGATCTATATAATGACGTGAAGAGTACATTGAGGTTTAGTTAGGAGGGGGGCGGATGTGACGTTCTGGGAATTTTGACGGTGAATGTGTTCACAAACCTTTTCTCTCTTCTTTTTTTCTGCCTCCATTCAATTTGACTTTCGTTTTCATTCCTTGTTAGCCACCTGACGAAGTCCTAGCCGCTTGGAAAACCCCACCGATATCCCCCGTTCGACCTCCCTCTGCTCAAAGGAGACGCGACCCAGACCCGGGTGGTGTGTCAAATAACCGTGGGGATGATTCCTCTTACAACACAAGACCCGGTAAATTCGTATCCAAGCTGCGTGCAGAAGCGCATCTCGCGTCGCTAGGAACGACATCTGTCAGCCGGCCGCCTCATGTGTCCAGTTCTGACAGTAGTCTCAGTAACCGGTCTGGACCCATAACAACAGCCGGTATTGATCAGGGAACCTCATGGCGAAGTAAATCAGGGTACGTGTGTTCTTCACTAAACAAGTTTAATTTTAAGTGAGGCTGTAGGCGCCAAGCCAACTTTTTTCTCCAATATAAATAGAGAATAGTTTTACGCAAAATAGCCTTAATCTGCACTTTGCTGTTCCTTGTGTAATGTACATTTTCTCTCTTGACAATTTCTTTATTTTTCCGCACCTTACATCAGGTGAGAGAATGAGGCCCTACAGCAGAAGTATCCTTTTCCGAAATTAGCAGCAGATTTTAAAGTTTCCCTTGCATGTTTCGCTTCTTTCGTTAAATGATTTCTGCGCCTGGCACAAAGTGCATATTTTCCCGCGCTTAACAGATAGTGCCTTATTTCCCGCGCTTAACAGAAAGAGCATATTTTCCTGCGCTTAACAAATAGTGCATAATTTCCGGCGCGCAAGACCGGCTACATGATTTCCCGCCCTTATCTTCTGCTTTCACCTGAGCCCCTGTATTGGCTCTTTGGTATTTCGTAACCGGCGTTAAAATACAAAAAAATTGGATCGTTTTACCCCCGTAAAGCCGACGTTCTGTGCGCTAGTACTTCGTCGACGAAGGGCTGAGTGTAGCAAAACTAAGCCTTTCATTTATCTGGTGTTAAAATACTACTAAAGTACCATTTCTTTCTCTTTTTCCAGTTCTGCTGGTGACATGACTTCCGGTTCGGGATCAGTGAAGCTAACAGGTGATAGTCGAGCAGATGCTGACATCCTGGCTTTCATCAAAGCGAGGCAAAACCTTTTACAGCAGCGAGGTTGGTTGCCTGAAACGTCATAATCCTTTGTGACCGATTAGTTGGAGTGCTGGACTTGAAATCTGGAAATAGAGTCCAATTCTCACACTGAACGTACCGCTTTGGACTTGTTTCGAAGTGGCATAAATGAAATGGAATGCGTTTCCCACAGAGCCTTAACGTTCTGTAACGATGTTCGACTGCAAGTGCCATTTGTGTCCTTGAAATACCCTTTCTTTTGGCTTTAGCTTGACTCGAACACCCATTTCTTTCATCGTCCTCAGAAATAAACATAGATACCTTTTTTCCCTTGAAGGAACCATGTGTAAGGGCCTGTTTACATGGAGGTGGGGTACCCCAGGTAAGTGAGGTAACCGCCTTAGGTGGGGTTACCTGCCTGTCCATATAATCTCTCATTTTAATTTGACCACATTTACATCAAAGGTGGTGTGACCCGTCACATGTTACCTCACCTACCTGGGGTCCCCCTCCTTCGTGTAAACAGGCCCTAGGAGACAGGGATATTTGGGACTGAGGTTCCTTTCGTCCCCTAAAGGAGACTATACTCCCGCACAATATGACCGCTTGTTTGTTTGTTTGAGTTTTTTTTTCTATAGATATTCTTTATGCACAACCCTAGGCATTACTTTTATCGGTAACTGTATTGGCTTTCAGCCCTGACCACCCTTAGTAGGCACAAATTCTGCAAATTTACCCCTAAGCGAGACGACGAGCACCCTCGTCACCTGTCAATGGGAGACCGCTTGGGATCCTGGTATTTGTTTGGTTTTACTGTACCTCTGCCTGAAATTCAACCATGACCTTTTATTTCAGGTCACCGATAGCAGCTGGTTTTTATCTGGGAGTCATAAAGATCAGTGATCTGTGCCTGGTCCAGAAATACGGCCGCACCCGCGAAGTAAACTGCCCTACCCCGCTGGAAAGTCATCAGACCTATGCCGATATCGAGAATGTAATTATTTTTTACCAAAATCTGTGAAAACGTGAGAGGGGTAGAAAAGGATAAGAGCTCCTCTGCAATTAATGCTTCTGTAATGTTATTGCAGTTGTAAATTATTAAGTAAGGTGTAATAGAACGAAGAAAAAATGAAGGCAGATATTGTGATATCACAACTTTAATACCTCTCTTTGTGTTGATCACAATTTTAGCACTTCGCCCTCGAATCCGGTAAATCTTTACACAATTCAGAAGTCGCTTTCGAATTACCAAGGGTCGTCCGACATGTGTCGTTGGAAGGTTAATGGGAACCTTCGATCAAGCTCTCATAACTGAGGGGATGGAAATCCACCCCCCAAGCGAGGCGAGAGAGCCATTATCTAACTTAAAAAGAAAAACTCTCAAAAAGGGGAGCTCGAACAGTGGGACACTGCTGGACAATTAGTCGCCTGAATAAGGGGGAGGGGAAGGGGAGGAAAGCGTACCTTCCTTCCTTTTAAGCGTTGCGCGTGGTGTTGAGGGAAGGATGTGCTTTACATTCTTCCCATGATGCCCAGCGCTCTCTGGCTGGGAAAGTTGCCAATCGGAAGTTGCTGTAAACTTTTCAATGATTTCCGAAGTCGTGACGAAGCTTCGACGACAACAGACGGGAATTCCGAGTGAAATGGTGTTATGTCCTAAGCAAGAACTTTCATGGCTTAATTTCCCTAGCTGTCCTTTCCAAGTGTATGTAGTAAAATCTAACCCTTGGTTCGAATTTTGTTTTCCTCTTTTCCAAATTCTTCCTACATCAGCACACCCTAAACCAATGGAAACTAAAATTTAAACCAAGGATAGAACTACGACAAATTTTAAACTTTCTACTGCTGAACGATAAGTCAGAAAGGATATGAAAAAACTTTAACCATTCTTCATCATTTGGAGCCACAATTTATTTGGGCTTTGATTTAATTGCTTTATTCTTTTAATTTACAAATGAGTTAACATTTCATATCCTAATAAATTTACAAAGAAAGCTTACATACATACAATTCCTAAAACGCCTCGATTGTAGAGAGGCGAAAAAGAATACACAAATAAAAAAATATCTACATGATAGAGACAACTCCAGTAACATTCTAGCACAAAAAGTTCAATGCCCTAAACACAATCGCACAAGTTTGTTTCATTCCCAAAATCAGTGAATTTAACTCCAAGTACTAATTCGCTACTTTCGAACCGAGAGGGAATCTGGGCTGAGTTAACTTTCGCAAAGACGTCTGGGACTTTTACTAAGGACAGGGATTAGCTGACCGCCGTTTCCCCAGGAACGATCCCAGAATTAATTGCGCGAAGCATTTCTGCTTCAGTTCCCCCTCTCGTTTCTTAAGTGGCAAATGACATGCTGACGTCAGCTGTCAAAATTTACTTCTCAAACAAATAAACAAAACTATCAACCTGAGAATTAACTTAAAATATGATTTATATTTAAAACTTTGTTTCTGATGATCTAGTTTTTAACATATTAAATGCTGCATGTATGATGACATGACATGACATCGATCAGTACAGGTATATTTTTCACAGTCAGCACAGACGGTGAAGTCACACGCTTGCGTTGCTAGGCCACAAACTGGTTTATTAAGTTGTCAACTGACAGCTTGCTCGACCATGAAAGGTCTTTTTGCGCACGCTCGATTAGCTAGATGTTGTCCGCTGTTATGGCGGCTCAATTAAAACTACAAAATATTTGAAAAAAATTATGAATTTTAAGCTTAGCATTTTGCCACTTTTAATAACCTAATATTCTTAATGGTGACCAATACAAATTAAGGTAAATAAAAATAAACCAATCAATCTCAAAATCGACTGGACAAACTAACAAAAATTATTGTTTAAAACATAAGAAAAATAGAACTGTTAAACGCTTTCACTTGTTCTTCTCAAACTCATTAATAATTCATAAAGAAAATTCAAAGGAAATTAATGTTTAATGAGTGTTTGGATATCAGATGAAAAACTGCTCATTTTTGCATCCTTAATTTCTCCTTCAAAAATGATTTTGTTTGAGAAGAAATATCAAACATTCGACACAGTGTTTCATCACCAGATGAAAAACCTCGAAGTTCGCCAAAAATACTCCGCTGCGCGTCGTATTTTCAACTCTCTTCTCGGTGTTTCATCTGGTGATGAAACACTGCGTCTCATGTTTGATATATTACATGAAGCCCTTCTGTAATGAGAGACGCACACCAAGACAATTAATGTGCGAGGGGAAAAACTATATTATAAGACTTAACATGTTTTCTTCAAGACACAACAGGGGAATTTCCACATGGTCCCTGGCTGGTATGCTCAGTTATATCATAGTCAACATTGTTTTTAATTCACCACTTTAGAAGCGAGTTAGGCACTGGAGTCGAAATAGGCCGTCTTTTGTCTACAACTACCAGAATTCATTTCGTTCATGCTTTCTTATTTAAATTTGTCAATCCGGTAAGGTTTAAAACCCAATAGCCCTAATTTGCACAATAAAACAACAAACTGAAGGATTCTGGGAGTTGAAGTAAAATGACATAATCATGCAAGTGTCCTACTGTTTCTGGGAACGCGCCGTAGAGCTGTTCGCAATTTTTTTTACCTGTCTCTAGTAATAGTCCCAGAATTCTTAGCGACAGTTATCACAGCGCAGTTTCTTTCTTGTTTCTAAAGTGGCGAATCGTACCTTACAAGGGAGCTTAAGCAAAGGCATCTTTGAGCGACACACGTCAACCGGAAGTGAGTACAAGTGAAGCGTTTTTCTTTATAATATGACTGGACGCTACCAATACGTATTGTTAAGTGTCTTTATTCTTATAGAAACAATTTGGCCGAAAATTTGGGCTAAACCACTGCCCATGAATGAAAAAGGAACACTTCCGGTTGACGTGCGTTGCTCAAAAACGTCTTTGCTCAAGCTCCCTACAGAGTAACGATGATGACACAGCTGGAGATATCACCAAAAGCTGAATATCTTTTGATAATATTATCAGTTGTGCGGTACCTCTTTCTACGTGCATACACAGTTTTGCTTTAAAATCGCCGCAAAGGAAAAATGTCACTGTTTTTACTCTGTTATTTACTGCGATATTTTTACACTTTGCGCCGTCACTTGACCCAGGCAATAGACCTCTTTAGCTTGTTTTGTTTCCCAGCATAGGTCACGTGTTGTCCTCAAGGGAATGTTCTTTTCTCTTCACAAGTAATCCGTACACGCCCGTGAATAAGACCCTGTTTACATGGAGTGGGGGACCCCGGTCTAGTGGGGTAGGTTTCTTTTGTTTTATGTCCTCCAGAGCGTGAAAACAAAAGAAGCCAACCCCACTAGACCGGGGTCCCCCACTCCATGTAAACAGGCCCTAAGACGAAATTTGCCAGATTATTATTAAGTTACCTACGTTGGGAAAACCGTCAAACCATACAAGCTACAGAGGTCTATTTTATGCAAGTAAGTCTGGCAACTATAAATGTTACATATATTTTAAAATTTCGTTGATCGACACGCGATTCACAAATCAACCAACCTTCAAAAGATTCGAAACCAAGTCTCCTATGAGGAAAATATTATGTTAATTCAACTCCATGCCACTACAATAACATGATTGTAAGAGTGAGTACCGTCAACTGGCGCATATGAGCCCTGGGCTTTTAGGGGGGGGGGGGGGGGGGGG